CATTATTATCCCTATTATTCATCCTCATTACTTTCATTATTATCACTATTATTCCGCATATTACTACTTTCACCATTATTATCCCCATTATTCTTATTACTATCAACATTATTACGCATATTTCGACTATTATCATCTCTGGAACAGTAATTATCCTTACTACTCTCACTATTATCAGTATTATTCCGCATATTACTACTTTTATCATTATTATCCCTATTATTCTTATTATTATCAATATTATCACGCATATTACGACTACCATCATCGCTGGAACTGTAAACTACGTAACAGCAATGAAAATACTCAATTTCCTAAATGTACAAAGAACAAACAAAGGGTTAAAATATTCCTATAATCATGTCTAACCGAGATTTCCCGAGAGGCTGATAAACGCGCTATAATATAAACAGATCTTCCGACTCTAACGAATCCACTGTTATTAAATCCTTGATATTCACTATTATCACTATTATTCCGCATATTACTACTTTTATCATTATTATCCCTATTATTCTTATTATTATCAATATTATTACGCATATTACTACTTTTATAATCATTATACTTATTATTCTTATTATTATCAATATTATTACACATAATACGAGCATTATCATCGCTGGAACTATAATTATCCTCACTACTCTCATTATTATCAGTATTATTCCGCATATTACTACTTCTTTCATTGTTATCCCTATTATTCTTAATATTATCAATATTATTACGCATACTACTACTTTTATCATCATTATCCATACTACTCATATTATTATCATTGTTATTACGCATATTACGACTACTATCATCGCTGGGACTGTAATTATCCTTACTACTCTTATTATTATCAATATTATTACGCATATTACGACTATTATCATCGCTGGAATTATAATTATCTTTACTACTCGTATTAATATCAATATAACCTATATTATTACCCATATAACTATTGTTATAATAGTTAGAACTATTATTATTATCCGGATCGCTCTTATTATGATCAATTTAACCTATATCACTACCAATATTGCTACTTCTACTATCGATATAGCTATTATTTGTAGTAATAATCTATTTTTAATATAAATAGTCCTTATTACTCGTATTACAATGGGTGGAACAATAATTATTATCCTTACTGCTGTTAGTACTATCAGTCGGCCCCAAGGTTATGATATTTTGTGTTAGGTTTGGGCCCAAGGTTAGGTTATATTAGGTTAGGTCTGGGCCCAAGGTTAGGT